TATCACTGAATGGATGAACACCAACCAATTCTTTTTGGTATAGTGACTCTGTGTGTTCCTTCCATTTTCTTTTGATGTTTCCTGAATCATTCAATAGTTTACCCACAGAATATTTCAATATTGGAACTTGAGGCTTGAATTTTTTCTTCAGTTCTTTCAGCTTGAAAAATGCTGAGTGTGTTCTTCCCTTTTGGTTTTCTAACTCCAGGTCTTTGCACATTTCATTATAATAATTGATTTTGTCTTCTCAAGCTGCTCTTTGAAATCTTCTGTTCAGCTCTTTACCTTGTCATTTCTTCTGATTGCTTTAGCTACTCTCCATCCAAGAGCAAGTTTCAAAGTCTCTTCCAACATTCATTTTGGTCTCTTCTTCCTTTCATGTCTTTTTAATGACCTTTTGCTTTCTTCATTTATGATGTTCTTAATGTCATCACACAATTCATTTGGTTTTCAGTCATTAGTATTTAATGAATCAAACCTATTCTTTAGATGGTCTCTAAATTCAGGTGGAATATAATCAACATCATATTTTGGCTCTTGTGGATTTGTTTTAATTTTCTTCACCTTCAACATGAACTTGCATATGAGGAGTTGATTGTCTGTTCCACAGTCAGTTCCTGGTCTTGTTTTGGCTGTAATCAATTTAATTCCTGTGTATTCCATCTGGCTAAGTCCACGTGTATAGCCCCCATTTATGTTGTTGATAAAAGGTATTTGCAATGAATAAGTCATTGTTGCTGTTGTTGTTAGGTGCTGTTGAGTCATCTTTGACTCATAGCAACCCTATGCACAGCAGAACAAAACACTGCCCACTCCTGCACCAGCTCCATGTGTAGGGTTGCTATGAGTCAAAGATGACCAAGTCATCGGTCTCGGAAAATTCTATCATGCGATCTCCAGCGTCATTTCTATCATCAAGGCCATATTTCCCAACTAGTGGTGATTCTTCTTTGTTTCCAACTTTTTGTTGGAAGAAGAAAAGGGCCATCCACTTCTCAAAGATTGTCAGTGAAAACCTTATGAACAGCAGTGAAACACTGTCTGATATCCCACATATATATTTATCATTTTTTTCTTTTTCTTGGTTTATATTTAAAAATGCTTGTGCAATATTTATGATACATAAAAGGTATAATGAATAAACTTGTGAATTCCCAGGAACCCAAAATTTTGCTTAAGAAATAAACCCTTATCCATGCAGTTGAAACCTCTCTGTACTTTGTACTGGTTATAACCACCACCTTCTCCTGAGACACATCCGCTAGCCTGAATTTCAATGCTTATCCTTCTCATGCATCTTACTCTTTGAGTACATAGTGGCACATTTTCACATGGCATCATGCAGGTCACCTCATCCAAAAAACCCAAATCCTCTGCCATTGTGTCAATTCTGATTCATAGCGACTGTACAGGACAGAGTAGAACTACCCCAGAGGGTTTCCAAGGCTGTAATCTCTATGGAATAAGATTGCCACATCCTTCTCCCGAGGAGTAGTTGGTAGGTTCAAACCACTGACCTTTCAGTTAGCAGACAAGCACTTAGCCACTGCACTACCAGGCCTCCTCTCACCTAATCTACTTGTACTTAACTTTTTCATCGTAAAAAATCAGAAAAATACAGTACAATAAAACAATTTTCTGAAAAGGCTCACGATCTCTTTGTTCCCCATTCCAGGTGGGACACTGAGGTTCTATGCAACTTTATTTTGGTTTGATTTTTTTTTTAATTACAGTGAAAATATACACACCAAAGTATCTACCAGTATAACAACTGCCATAGTGGTCATTCAACGGCACTGATTACGTTTGTCATGCTGTGCCACCATTCTCACTATCCTTTTCCAAAATATCCCACCACCATCAACAGGAACTCAATGTTCCCCAAACAAAAACTCTCCCTTTTTCCCTCCCTCCTACCCCTGGTAATTACTAATAAGCTTTGGTTTCTATATACTTGCTTAATTCCTGTAAGTGAAATCATACAGTATCTGTCCCTTTGCAACTGACTTACTTTGCTCAGCATGATGTTTTCAAGGTTCATCCATGTTGTAGCATACATTAGGTGTGGTAGTTAAGGCTGTGTGTCAATTTGGCTGGGCCTGGTCAAGTGGCTGGGCAGCTGGTGGTAATTATTACCCATGATGAGACTGGCAGTCAACTCCATGGTGGGATCTACCACAAGTAGCTGAGTAGCAGTTCATGTATATAAGCAGCAGCTTTGGGAATGGTCTCCAGCTTATGGTATGCTTGAACCCTTCATGCAGCCATGCAGCCAGATCATTCTTCAGCAGCCTGCTATGCTCTGCTGATCTTGGGACTTTTAATGGACTTGAATTAATGGCCTGCTGTGTTTGGTAATATTGGGACTGTGCCTTCTTACCTGTCAACCTTGGGTTTGTCAGCCTCAGCAGCTATCTGAGCGAAGAAAAGCCTTCAGCTTCAGTAGGTCTGGAGTAGGAGGCAAAGCTGAAGCCCAAGATTGAGGGGCTTTCACCCAGCCCCTAGAGCCTGGCACTTTGAACTCAGACTTAAGGCCTCCAAACTATAAGAGAATAAATTCCTGTTTGTTAAAACCATCCCATTTGTGGTATATTCTTATCAGAGTGGCACTAGGTAACCAGAACATCAGGACTTCATTTCTCTTTATAGCTGCATGATATTCCATTTTGAGCACACTGCTTATCTATCATTTGTTAACAGACAATTCAGTTGTTCCCCTCTTGTGGCTATTGTGAAAAGTGCTACAATGAGCACTGGTGTACAGGTTTCTGTTTGTATGCCTGCTTTCATTTCTTCTGGGCATGTACCAGGATTAGGATTCCATGTTCAACTTTTTGAGGAACCACCATACTGTTTTCCACAGTGGCTGCACCATGAGGGTTCCAGTTTCTCCACAATCTAACCAACACCTGTTGTTACCTGTTTTTTGTTCGTTTGTTTTTGTTTTTTACCATTGCCATTCTAATGGGGGTGAGGTATAATTTTATTTTCATGGTACCAAACAGACAAATAAGACTGTGCAAATAAAAACACTTCAAGCACATAGATGAAAAAAATATAATCAATGAACACCTGGTTTCTACTACAATGTAAGTTTCTCAAAGGCCAAAAGATTTCTGTATCAGTACCTGGCACACAGTAAACAAAGCATCCACTTCTGTTGAGTCATGTCTGACTCACAGCCACCCCATGTGTGCAGAGCAGCACTGTGATCTGTAGCGTTGTTAAGGCTGTGACCTTTCGTAAGCAGACTGCCAAGTCTTTCTTTTGAGGCACCTCTGGGTGGGTTTGAACAGCAGACTTTTGATAGTAGTTGCGCACTTACTCATTTGTGTCACCCGTGTACACAGCAGACACTCAGTGAATTTATGTGATGAATGAAAGAATGAGTTTTCAAGATAATGGTAACATAACAGAATTGATTCTTATATGGAGATTTAGTGTGAAGTCAACATATAAAGCAAAAAGCCCAAACTCTGAGATAGCTCCAGGGAAACGGCAGCCCCTGTTCATCCCTAACATTCTTAGTGGGAAGGTAAATTGACCTCTTTCCTAAGGAAAAGGAAACTAAGGACTTTTCCCACAACTTCTGTCAATATGACAAACATACATACATTTCCATACAACAACAACACCAAAAAAGCTCATTACCGTCGAGTTGGATCCGACTCATAGCAACCCTTCCTTGGGTTTCCGAGGCAGTATCACTATGGAAGTACATTGCCCAATCTTCCTTCCGAGAAATGGGTGGTGGGTTTGAACCACCAGCCTTGTGGTCAGCAGTAAAATGTCTTAGGCACTATGCCACCAGATCTCCCCATACAGCAAATACATGACTATAATTAATCCTACAGATGAGACTTGCCAAAGACAAAATTACCAAAAAACCAAACTCACTGCCATTGAGTTGATTCTGACCCATAGTGACTCCATTGGTTTCCAAGGCTGTAAATCTTTACAGAAGCAGACTGCCTTATTTTTCTTCTGCAGAGCAGCTGATGGGTTTGAACCACCAACCTTTTGGTTAGCAGCCAAACGCCTTAATCACTAAACCACTAGAACTCCATAAAAGAAAAACAAAAAAAACAACTCACTGCCACCAAGGCGATTCTGACTCATAGCAACCCCCTTTGGGTTTCTGAGGCAGTAAATCTTTACATAAGTAGATTGCCCAGTCTTCCTTCCACAGAGTGGCTGATGAGTTTGAACCGCCAACCTTCTAGTTAGCAGTCAAGTGCCTTAGGCACCAGAACTTCTCAAATTAGTCACTCTCAAATCCTCAAATTGAGTATTTTGTTTTTACTTTCTAGACCATTTTGTTTGAAAAATCCCATTTGTATTGGCAACATTTCCAATTTAATAACGATGCTTCTTTTTTGATTCTAAGCTGGTAATAGCCTTGTTCATTTATTTTAAAATACATTTTTCCCAAAATATGATGAAATTAGAGGCGATGTATATGGATAACTTTGGTGTTTTGACAAACACGCTGACAAAACAGCAGGAATTTCTGGTTTCGTGGAGGACAGCTAAGTCAAAGTCATCACAAAACAGGAGCTGTAAGACTGAACTCAGATCTGAGGTCCAACTGTGCCTCTCTATCCCTTACCCATTTTAAATGACAGTCAGCAAACACCCAGCCCCCATGGGTGTTTCTTGGAAGCCCTCTCTTTCTAAACCCAGTGCAGAGTTTACTCTTTGATTACCTCACTCTTCCGCACTGAATCTCAAACTCTTTTTCCATAGTCTTACAGAACATTCCTCAGAACAAATTATAAAAGGCCAATAGGATAAAGCCTATCTACCATCTCTGCATAAAAATAATTCAAGCCAACTGCTGCAACAAAAACAATCCTTTTGGCTGCTTTTGGCCTTGCCAGAGTTCCAATGCTCACCCCAGTGCACATCCGTGGTGAAAGTGTACTTCATTGGGGGACGGGGGGTGTCTCATGGGGAAGGTTTCTTAACATGGAATTCGTCACAAATGAACATGTTCTTACCTGGGCAGGAACACACTTTCCACCACATAAAAGTCCTGCATGAGAACATCCCGGTCTGGCTTGGAAGTGAGGTTACCAACCGTGTATCCTATTCCCAGCTGAATAGCACCTTTTATAGCAGATGACGCAGTCTGCAAAGAAAACAAGGGTCTCAGCATTAACCTCAACTATCAGGGCCTAGTTCAATGCCACATATAACAAAAACAGGAGTGTGACATCAGATTTTCTCTCCTGTTCCTAAGCCATAAGGAAGCCAAGGTCTGGGAAGATGACCTGTTGCCGCTTTCTCTTTTTATCTCAATTTTACTGAGAGGATTTTTTTTTAAATTTTGGTGAAAATATACAGTCATATACAATTTCAACAATTCCTACGTGTCCAACTCAGTGACACTGATTACATTCTTCAAGTTGTGCCCCTCGTCCTAATTATTCCTCCACCTCTGACGTACACTCCCTGTCCCCAAGCTTGCCATGTAACCTCTCAGTTGCTGTTCTCAATTTGATCTCACAGAGATCGTCCTGAAAAGAGCACAGTGCTCAAGGCAGACACACTTTACTTATTAAGATAAATTATTTTGGGGGTTCAAAGAAGACCTCAGGAGATGTTGTGGGTTTAAGGTTTAAAGATTATCTCTGGGCAATAATAGTTTCAGGGGTTCAGCCAGTCTCAATAGCTCCAGAAAGTCTCACTCCCACTGAAAATTTGAAAGTCTGTTTTGCATTCTTCCTCCTTTAGATCTGGATTCTTCTATAGAATCTTTGATCAAAACAATTGGTAATGGTAGCTTGGCACCATCTAGTTCTCCTGGTCTCATGGCAAAGGAGGCAGTTGTTCACGGAGGTAATCAGACACGCAATATGTTTCTCCTCCAATTCCTGACTCTCCTTTTTTGTCTGTTGCTCCATGGAAGGAAGGCCTATTAATGTACCTTGGATGTTTGCCTGCTAGCTCTAAGACGCCAGGCAGTATGCAACAAAGCAGGAGGTAAGAGATCTGTTGTTCTTTTCATTTAGAGTTGATTCCAATATTAAGAACCTTTCTTGTTTGAGATTACTTTTTGTGATCATCTTTTCTATAAATGTTAATAAGGTCAAATTATTACCCAAAATCTCTTTCTTTCTTTTATTAAGAACTTAGAACCTTGCTAGAAAACTCTTAATATATTTCATTATAATTTCTACCAAAAGAGGAATGATACCATTAGATTAAAAAAAAAAAAAAA